TAAAGTCCATATAAGGCAAAACAAACTCTATTTCTCTATCTTCAGCAAAAACTTTCAAACTTTGTTATAATCTACATTGCTGTGAATGATCTTAGTGGCCAAATATCTGAGAAAATAGGTCAGGATCCAAATATAATTGGACAGAAATCGAAGATGGTGGTGGTTGCTTGAAGGTGCATATGTGATCGAAAGAAGTAGGAGACAGAGACAACAGTGGGCTTGACCACGAAATAGTGAGTGTCAATGGTGGTTGGAGCTGACGAGGTGCTGTGTTCCATGATGCTTGGACACGGGTACGGGTATTGGGTACTAGTACGTATCTAAATGTAGGACTTTTTATTTTCTAAAATGTAGGATATGGGGATATGACAAAAAAGAGTTCAAATTTCGGACACAGATACATTGGTACGTCTTTCGAACTCTCCAAAAATGTCATTTTAAATAGACCAAAATCAATTATTCACAAAGAAAGAAATGAGTATTGAATAAGGGGTTAAAATGAATAAATTAGATTTTAGGGTTTACTTTCTAATTATGGGAATTACTAAATGTTATTATGTTGCATATGAATAAACTATCTTAATTAGTTCCTCTGCAATTTATCTTCAACGGTGACCTTAAATGACTCAAGAATATATTATATTCTTAATTCAATCACATCTATTTTATCACAGACCCATATCAATAATACGATCTATGTTATATTTTTATTTATGGAAAATATTGTTTCTTAATAGCCTGACATGCAATTTCATCTTATACGAGACCTTATTCTGTCCTGATCTTTTAGATTAAAAATTTGTTGTTCACAACCCTCTAACTAATCCTCCATTTAACACTTCAAACACTAATCCTTTGAAGAACATCCCTTACAGTGTAATGTCCCCCCGGCGTGAATAATTGAGTTGACTAATCAAAAGAGCTCCCTTAATCGCTACTATCTCCATGCAAGTAATTCACATTTAAAAACTACACTTCATGTACTTATTCTACTCTTACCTTAGTTTACATTCTTTGTTTTCATAATATTATCTCCCAAACTCTAATTTGTAAGTAATTACCCATTTTGTCTTATCCTTTATGATGATATTATCTAATGAAATTTAGATTGTTAGACATTATCTTGTGATGTAAATTCATCCATAATTGGAACAAATAAATAGACTTAAAGCTTTACTTCAATCCTCCGTCACACTACTCGGTAAACTCCATAGAATTATTCAGTAACAGTAGCATGATATGTATAACTTTCAAACAAAGTGAAACTTACTAGAATAAAAAATAGGAATTTTTCGTAACTTCAAAAACAAATAAATACGTCAGGGAAATAACTTATATCTTCTGGATTTTATGCCTGCAATAAGAGCAAGTCTACTTCTAGGTATATGTTGAAGAGTAAGATCAAATTTTATTCAGAGGTTACCTTTTGCTAGATGAATATTAGGACATTACATCTTTGGAACTACCTCAGGAGTTACCACTATTGAGAAACATTTAACATGCAATAGACTTAGCTCCTTGGAGGGGAAGCTAAGTTGAATAGGAAATGGGACTTCTAGCTAATGTTTTTTCCTTGACAATAGCCTTTGTCCTTGTATTGTGCATGTTATACTCACTTGAAAGGAGATATCTTGGAGGATTTGTACGGATACTAAAGCCATCAAGAAAATCTCATTTAAGTCTGTGTTTCCTATTCCTATGATAGAAGATGTTTTGGTTGAGCTAGATGGTTCTATGTGGTTTCCCAGGTAGGCTTTCATGGTGGATACTACCAAATTAGGATTAGACCAGGAAATAAGTGGAAAACAATCTATAATACTCAAGATAGCTTGTATTTGTGACGAGTTGTGCCTTTCAGAGTATCTAATGCTCCTACTGCTTTATGAGAGTGATGAGACATCCATTTATTGGAAATTTTTTGTTGCATGATGTTCTCTTTTATAGCCTGTCAAAGGAAGAATATCTTGATCACCTTAGGCAGCTTTTTTGTACTCTTAGAGCTGGAAAATGGTATGATTATATGTTTTGACTGAAGCCAATATAGCTTTTATGGTTTGGATTGTTTTTATAGGAAATTCATTAAAAGTTCGGTACCATAACCGAGAAGGCAGGATTTCATTAGACCCTACAACCAATAGAGCCTTCATGGAAATAAAACAAAAGATGTATGGGACCTCTCTATTGAGCCATCCTAACCTTTTAATGTTTTCAATTTCTGATAAGGCTTTGACATAGGTTTCGTTTAAGCCTGAACGATCATCCCACAGACTACTTTAGTGAAAAACTCATTGGGACTAAATAACCGTATTTTAACACATGGCAAAGAGACAAGAGTGTTATGAACTAGTGGAACTTGTTCGTTACTGGCAATCCTATTTTGTTGCCTAAAGAGTTCGTCCTTTATTACACCATTTAGCCTTCAGATTTCTGAACTCCCAATGTATATTCAGTGGAAGACACATAAAGTGGGTTGAATTTCTTTAACAGTTGATATTTGTTATTAGGCATTATGTTGGGTTGATAATAAAGCTGAAAATGCTAATCATCTTTCCATTGGTATCCATTCTATAACTAATAAAGTGACGGTTTTGAAAGATTTAAGGATGTGTACCGTAACTGTCCAGAATTTGGAAATAAAAGTTGGAGGTCTGTTTGGACATTTGGTAGGGATAAGACTATAACCCTAGTGGAAGATGGAATTTATGGGCCTCTTTGAAACATGATGTTGCTCTTGCTCATATGGTCTCCAATTGTTGTACTTGTCAATTAGGTAAATTAAGAAACGAAACTTAAATTATACACTTTATTTTCTTGTCCCACATAATCCTTAACATGATCTTAGCATGGACTTTGTCCTTGGTTTACCAATATAATTAGAATTTACTTTCATGTTTTTCTGAAAACATTCCCTAAATGGCTCATTTCATTCCATTTTCCATCCATGTTGCTAATTGTTTTTGAAGGAAGTTGTTTATTTGCATGTTTAAAGTTCTATCATTATATGTAATAGACATGTGAAGCTAGTTATCTTGGAAAACTCCATGGAAATTGTTTCATACCACTTTGAAATACTTGGGTTCTTTTTATCCTCCGTGGGGCAAATAGAGGTTGTCAATCAGTCTCAAATACTTGAACCTTTTATTGGTGGAAAACTGGTATCTTGTCTTTCAATTGCTTTTTCTTTTAATAAGAAAAAAAGCCAATATTAAAAGTAAAATTTTGACGAAAGGAAAAGCATATATTTTCCTATCTTTCTTATTGTCTTGATTTTTTTAAATTTCCTTGTTTCTTCCTTATTCTTTTTTATTTTTAATTTCCCTTTTTACACCTATCTTTTTCTTATTTGAATGCAAGGGTAGTATTATGTTTTCTTAAAATGGAACACGTGTTTTGGATGGAAACCAGTCAAAAGGAATTAATGTATTCCATAATTGAAGGTTGGGCTTCTAAATGCCAAAGAAAGTAGGTGGGGAACCAAGTGCCATTGAACCCAAATGTAGGGGACCAGGTCTACCATTTTCCCTTTCAAAAATACATGTATATTGAAGGCGTAAAGTAGGAAATAGATATTTGTTTACTTTCTTGTATTAATTATTAGTCTTTTAAGTTAAGTTTCCATTATGTCATTGCAGTAGGTTTACATTCTTGTCAGGAATTTCAATATGGTCCCTATCAGTATGTGAATTCTACCCACAAATAAAATCTTGGAGATGCTACTGCATCTTTGTGCATACATCCAGTGTCTGGTTTGTTTCTGTGTCCAATCTAGATGCATTAAAATGATGTCAGTTCCCTGTTGGCCCAGCCTGTCTGCAAAAGTCTCACCAGACCAAACAGCCTGGTAGTTTGTACCTGTACCGGGCCAGTTCACCAAAACCATAAAAAAATTGGGACAATGGTAGAAAACTGCAAAATGCCAAATTCTGATGATGAACCAATTACCAAGGCTTACCTAGCAAGCCTTGATTCTAATATCAAAGAACCCATAATAATATTTCAATCTAGGCAAACCAAAAGCCTTGGTTCAAATACCAAGGTCAAGATGAGTTGGTTTTATGCCAAGTGCTGCCAAAGCAAATTTAGGAATGTTTGTTTGACGTATCTATAAACAAAACATGAATGCTAACAAATGGTAAAAGTTATATATTTTTTTGCAGACTTGACAAGTCAGACTACAACCTTTAATAAAATGGTTGCTGGCAAAAGCCTTCAATAAAGATTGTTGCCTTTATTTCTCCTCTCTATTTATTTTTTCGAATAAATTTCACATTCTTTCATGCATGCATGTGCTCCACAATTCAATATGTAAATAAAATATGTATAAAAATAAATAAAAAGAAGATAGAGCCCTGTTAGCTGTTGTCTGCAAGATTTGGCAAGGGAAAATTGTCAAATTTGCAAAAAATTTAAATTTTTTTTTCTGTTTGTTAACATTCATTTTTTGTTTATAAATACGGTACTTATCATTTTTACCCACATTCACAAATTTCCTTGTGCATCAGACTATATAAAACCAAATAAACTCGACATTGGTGTTTCAATTATGGCTTCTAGCTTCCCTTGGTTCAATTATAGAGGATGGGTTCCTTGATATTTGAACTAAAGCTTCCTTGCAAGTTTTGGTAATTTTTATTTTTTATTTTATTTTTTTGACAGAAACTAGTCTTTGTAGTTGGTTTTGGTTCATCAGGAATTGAGATTTGGCATTTTGCACTTGTTGCCATTTTGACCTCCCCTCTTTTATACTTTTTAGCCGTTTTGTTGAATCAACCTGGTAAAGGAATCGGCTACCCGGCAATCCGGTCTTTGCATTTTTTTTTTTTTGGAGGCTGGGCTAGGCCAGGACCATGACCAACATGGGCTGTGCCGGTTCAGCAGGTGAGTGAACCGCATCAAACTGGCCGAACCGGCCTGCCCATTTTGACAACTCTAAGTGGTGATTCATGTTGCATAGAATTTGCTTGTCTTTCTGCTTGTGGTTATATAATGAATTTGTGCAGGTGATGTTAACAGCATCAGTATTGGGACTGGGACGAACATACAAGATAATTCCCTTGTTCACGTTGCTAAATCTAATCTTAGTGGGAAGGTCTTGCCAACCTCTATTGGCAACAATGTCACTGTAGGTTAGTTACATTAAGCTACTTTTGTATAAAAACCTGGTCCTTGCAATGCTCTGAATCCCGAGGAATAACTTCCACGTTGACCTGGACAGGTCATAGTGCTGTCTTACATGGATGCACTGTTGAGGATGAGACATTTGTCGGTATGGGTGCAACATTGCTTGACGGGGTGGTTCTAGAGAAACAAGCCATGGTTGCAGCAGGTGCTCTTGTGAGGCAGAATACAAGAATACCTTCTGGAGAGGTTTGCCTCTTAGTTAATAAATTATTGTTGCTTATTATTAATTGCTGATTTCTGCTTCTTTGTATATTTGTTATGGTAATTCGCAGATTGTATTTTTATTTATTTATTTATTTGTTGTGGATAGGCTTCAAATATCTTTAATTAGCTATATCTAATTTTGCCTGTTTTAAATTCCACTTCTCTGTTGTATTTCTACCAAAAAGTATATAAATCTGTCCTATTAGTTGGCAAAGTACTAGCAGCATTTCAATCAGTTTCAATTGAGGGAATTGAGTCCTGACTGACTACCTAAGTTTGGATTGAGACTATAATTTAATAAAGAGTAATACTATTTAGCCCCACTACGGTTACAATTCTAGTTTAGGTGGCGTTAATGTGGTATTAAATGATAGGTGGAATTAAATAAGTCATTGAATTTCACATTTCATTCCTATCATCTAGCACTACTTAGATTTGGGTTGCAATCCTAGTGGGACTACATAGCATTACTCCTTAATAAATGGTAAAACTGCAAATTTTATTGTTAAACTACTGAATAGTTGTAACACAATGGAAGGACCTTTTAAGATAACAAGTAAAGAATGCTGCTAAACTTGATTTTTCAAATACAGGTGTGGGGAGGAAATCCAGCAAAATTCCTGAGGAAGCTCACAGAAGAAGAAATTTCCTTCATTTCCCAGTCAGCAATCAATTATTCCAACCTAGCGCAGGCTCATGCAGCTGAAAATGCTAAGAGCTTGGATGGTGTTGAGTTTGAAAAGGTTCTACGCAAGAAATTTGCTAGACGGGATGAAGAATATGATTCGATGCTAGGTGTAGTTCGTGAAACACCTACACAACTAGCTGTTCCTGATAATGCTAAAACTCCAAAGGCGGCTTAATATAATTCTCATGTCGAGTAGCTCTTAAATTTTCATTGACATTTTGTTGTCTTAAGCGGTTACCTGGACAAATCCCTGAGCTTCGTTTCTAATAATCCTTTGGCGCAGATGATGGATCCTGAAATGCAATTGTTGCACGACACATCTCATCCTTTTTTTTGGTTAAATGAAGGCTTTATTTTCTTTTAAGATTATCAATGCACATGGAATTGGATTGTCCAATTGTCCAATATGTCGTTTGTTAGTAATAAGGGGGTACTGGCTCTTATTTGTTTGCTTGGGTTTCTGTCACTGGATGCACTTTCTTATGTTTGTGCTCAAATTGGAGAATGAAGTCCTTTCAATGAAGGTACATTAGGCATGTGATGTTTGGAAATGGTATTTTAAGCCAAACTAAAAAAATTGTTTAAAAATGGAGCTTGTGTTTATTTATTTTTGAAACCGATAGGTTCTTTCAGCCAAAACAAAACCATCGATGAAAGTGCATTCCCCAAGCCAAGTTCTATTTTGATAAAACACAAAAGACCGTTCGATGCAAGGATTTGAGATAAAAAAATTGGCCTTTTGCCCAACAAGATAGAATAAAGTTGTTTGTATACATGTATAGGGTAGTTTTTATGTATTGAGATGGCACCACTTTACTGGTTGTTTTAACTTTGATTTTTGTTTGAAATTCAATGAAATGTAGCCATCTGACATTCTGTAACTTCATCTGTCAAATTTGTCTATACATGTAGCATTATCGTGGGCGAAAAAAAAAGGGTTTAGAAGTGGAAAATCAATTAAAAGCAATGCAAAGTTATCTAGAAGGGCTCATTTCCTGAGCATGAATGGTCGGAATCCTCTGCACGGGAGTGGCGGCATTCCAAGAATCTAATTCCATCTTGTTGATTTGTAGTTGTTGTCGATTTTGTCCTGCAAGTGGATGGATCGTAACAAGTAGTAAAATTGACCTTTTGAGTCCGAATTATCGTTCCTACGAGGATTATATTTTAATACTCAATTTATTATATTTAATTTTTATTTGACGAAAATAAACGAGAACAATAATTAAAAGTGATTTTTATTCTAACTACTTGAAAGTTCGTGAATATAACAGAAAATGAGTGAGAATTCAAATAATAAACGGATATTAGGGCAGAACAATTTCACCTATTGGTTACCTTTACTTCTAATATCGAGATTCAAAAAATCTAAAGTAGTATTCGGTTGAATTTTTATACGGTATTCAATTTACTCCTCTTGAGTTCTTATTGAGCCTATTTAAATAATTCAATTTCATATCTCTATGCGAATCAACATTATTTAAACGGTATTCAATTTACTCCTCTTGAGTTCTCATTGAGCCTATTTAAATAATTCAATTTCATATTTCTATGCGAATCAACATTATTTAAACGAAATAATAGTTCTAAGAATTCATATAGAACTGCACAATTAATATAGGATCTCTACACGTTATATTAATTTACCTGATTTTAATATGTGGTCTAAACAAAAATCCGCATTTCTACGCAATTATTGTTCACGAAATCATTGAATAATTTGTCAGAGAATTCAAAGCATTAAGAATATGATTAAAACCCACACATGTAATCATAACAAACAAGAATCTCAAATAAAAGAAATAAAGGGTCTCAAATATGTTACATTGTTTGCCTAACAAAGGATTTAGCTGTGTATAATGAAAGAAGAGAAATAACAAATTGTCTTAGAGTACATTATCGGATTTAGAATTAAACATGTAGAGAAAAAGTAGATCTTGCACTAAGAATTTATTCCTCTTCCAATTGATGCTTCACGCAATGAATTTGTCGTTGTTTTCTCCCTTTAAATCTCTCCCCTTTTTCTTCCAAGATGTGTTTCTTGCCTCTTAATGTTAAACCCCCTCAATATGAGACTGAAATTCTGGAGCATAACTTTTCGGTTGGAAATTAATTTATGATTATATTTTGTCTAAATTTGATCCCTTTGACATCTTTCTTCATCCAATTGACTCCTAACGCTCTTGGATCTTCATCGTGAGGATCGACACAACATTTGAATATTTGTACTTTAGTCCCCGAACTTTGAATCTCATATGATTTAGCCATTTTCTTTAATTTTGCACACTTTTGCTTCTTTACTTCAAATCCTTTTCCTTTAAAAAATTTCACCTATTAAACATAAAATATAAAAATTTAGGATATAATTTGTCGAAAGAACCATCAAATATCGCTATTTATGGTACCAAATAAGTGTATAAAATACACTTATCAGTAGTCCGTTCAAGTAAGTAAACTTCTATCCCTCCCAAATCGCATAGCACTCGAACAAAAAAGGTTAATGGAAAATGCGGTATTGATTTTGCACACAAGTGCATTCCTATTTCTTACCAACTATTGCAGCTGCTTCCACATTTATTTAGGAAACCAGCCAGTGTTCAAATACTCTGGCAGGAGGTTGTCATGGATTAAAGATTGACTGCTGCTGATGACTACTGGAAAGTGTGCTTTCAAACAATGTATGGTTTAAAAAAGGGACTCATTTGCATTAATCATTTGGGGCATGTTTGGTACACTGAATTTGTTGAACACCACTTTTAATCTTGTCCATTTTAAAATGCACATTATCAATAGTTTTTATTTTATTTTATTTTATTATTATTTTTTTTTTAAACAAGAAATTGGTCGGAGATTTTCTGAGTCTTCCACTAGTTCTGTTCTTTCTTATCGAGGACGGAACGAATCTCACTCCATGTTTGACTGCTTGGAGGTTTCTGGGAAATTTTAAGAGGGTTGCACCACAAGGCGTGCTTTAAAAATAATGCTATTCAACAAAATTGGTTTTCAGCACCAACTTAGATGGCAATTACTTATCATTAAAAGGTACATTCTAATAAAATATCACACAATTCATTTAATTGAACATATCATGCATTGCCATAGTCGAGATCTACCATTGACCCACTAAATTGATGATGTGAATTAATTGGATTGGATAGTAAAATTGGATCGCAGGTCTCAATTCTATTGTCACCTAGATCGATGCTTTAATGCCACTAGTGTTAGATAACTTGAAGGTCTATTCAGTAGTGATTATGAGATTAATTTTTTGACCGTTAGAGAGAAAAGTAGGTCCCACATATGAGTGAGTAGAAAATGACGGCTAAAATGGTAAAATAACGGCCAAAATATTATTTTTTGGAGTGAAAAATTGTTACCAAACGAAGCTCATTCTTTTCATTGGCACTGCATTGGGAGGATCATACAAAAGTGGTCCCGTGGAGTAATTTTTTTGTGACGAGTTTCTAAAATGTGTGTTAACTAGAAATTCCTTTTTTAAAAAAATGTATAGTAAAAAAGTTGGAAATTTTTTTAAAAAATATTAAAAATGTATTTTTTAAGAAAGGTAATTAGCACAAAACGTCCCTACTTTTAAGGTTTATTGTGAAAAACGTCCCCACCTTTTATTTTTGATATTTTTGCCCTTATTTCCAACTTTCTTCGCAAAAAACGTCGTTTTCACCATTTTTTAATGTAAAATGACCAAAATACCCTCCCATTAAATAAAACAAAGTAAAAAGAAAAGAAAAATAAAAAATAAATCACAATCTTACTTCTAAATGTTTTAAAAAGTGTAAGTGAGTACAAATAATTATTAAAAGGCTTAATAGTACAAAACGTCCCTACATTTTACCTATAGTGTGAAAAACGTCCCTATATTTCAAATTAGTAAAAATGACATCTTCCATAATGAAACATGGAAATACGGATGAAAACTTAAAAAAAATTGAAATGTATGAACCTTTTCTGCAAGAAGTGTTGAACGTAGGGATTTTTTTGCTATTAGGTTTTATTAAAATTCTAAAAATAACCAAAACTCTCTCTCTCTTCCCCCCCCCGCCCCCCCTCTTCTTCAAATGGAACTGTC